CTAAAAGATGCACCTTAAGAAAGGAAGCATGTTTTTTTTTTTTTCTGGATGTTTGAAACAGAGTTATATTAGCTTAATTCTTCTCTATCATATCTGCTGGTTTCTGAAGGAGTTGCCAAAATGTCACCTGCACACCAAGTAGGCCATGATTCAAATATGCTCCTAGGTGGTAGGGATATTTTGGTGAGCAAAACAGAGGAGGAGATATCACTCTCTTGAGGATTGCATTGGAGAAAAGTGGCACATCACACAGGCAAACAGGAAGAGGATGTGTGATCAGGAAGACACAGGGACAGTGTGAGAAACTGTAGGAATTCTAGCTGTTCTGGAGGTCACTAAGGTCGTCTGAGTAGAGAAGGAGCAAGATCTAAACCATGTTGGCTGCTCCACTAAAATGGGAGACGATGACCCAATGGGTGAAGACACTAGTTGCCATGCTTGGTGGCCTTATCTCAGTGGCCTAGCCCCACATGGTGGAAGGTGAGAACTGACACATGCATACACACAACACACGCAGGCATGTGCGTACAGATGCACATGCACACACAGACACGCAGTACTTCAAAAATGCAAATTAAAAGTTAAAATGAGTGAACGCACCCCTGGAAGGAGGGGAGAGGAACTTGAACTTCCCACAGGGAAGTCCTGCTCTTAGGACTGGAGAGGGAGGAGGAGAGGGAGTGGGGGGAGCGGAAGGGTATTGGGAGGAGGGGAGGAAGTGGAAATTTTTATAAATAAATAAATAAATGAAGAAAAAAAGTTAAAATGGGATAAGGGTAGAAGCATACAGTCTTATATGAAAAGGAGAATGGTTAACAATAAAGACAGCACACTAGACTCCTTGCTAATCCAACCAAGTTTTGGCAGCAATGAAGCAACAATGTCCAACAATTAAACAATACCATATTGACATCTAGAGCAAAAGCAACTCAGTAGCCAATGGAAGTACACAAAGGAAGTTGAGAGCAAGATAAGATGAGATGGGATAAGAAGCTAGTACAGGGATACACATTGTGTAAACAAATATAAAGGCAAATAACATCACTAAAATTAAAAAATGAGTCACAGAATGATAAAAATACAGCATTAAAATGTAATTTAAGACATATACACTTGATGTTTTCAAAATACACAATGGAATAGCTGTCAGAAGATCAATGAAATATGTATAACCCCTCATTAGTGCTGGAGAATTAAACAGACATTCTCTGTCAACATAACCCTTTCCACTCTCTCCTGAAGGAATCAGAGCAGTACAAAAATAGATCTACAATCCACAGCAAGCGGGACTGGGAGATCACTCAGTAGGTAAAGTGCTAGTCTAACTATCATGGCTGGCTCCCGGTTCAGTGAAAGACCATGTCTCAAAAGATAAGGTGGAAAATGGAAGACATTTAGAATTGATTTCTGGCCTCTAAATTTGCATGTACAGGCCTACACACACACACACACACACACACACACACACACACACACACACACA